TAATGTATATCTGCTTTTTGTGAATTAATGCAACAAAAAGTGTAATTATTAATTTAGATCCATTTTTTATTTTTCTAAAAAAGTTTGCGTTATTTTTTTACATGTAATAGAATACTGCTCAATTATAACAATATATTGTACTATAAAAACCGTTTAGATATTAATTAACGTTGTAAAAGACATTCAACATTAAAAATCACAACAATAAAAATAGACGACGCACAGCGGATAATAAATCTTTTTTCCTTACTAAATTCGAAGCGAATTCTACATTAACACAATCTCTCGGTTGATGTGATTTATATTTAACATTAAAGTTATAAAAATTTCCGAGTTTGATACGAGTCTTAACGAAGCACCCCGTATAAGTGAAACTGTGCCAGGTTGATGTCGCCGTGCTAGTGCGCAATTGGAGAGCAATCGACTGAACGACACGCCGCAAATCAAACCGTATCCGCGTGCAGCTCCACCCTCTTCGAGCTGCGTCGCGTCGCCCTCCCCTCCGTCCGTTCCCTTCGCCCAGAATATTGTCCGCCACCCCTTTCGGGTGCATCTCCGCTGTGTCCTCTCAATTTGAGTTGACGCTCCTCCGGTGCGCTCGAGCGGTTCCGGCAGCTGCTGCGATGCATCACCGATGCATCACCTCGGCGGGACGTTTCGCGCGTTGCACGCGCCGCTACTGTTAATTGCATCGATTGTTTTCGGATCGACGGTTGTTCGACGGCGGTGGCGGATAGTCATTGGATAAGCCAAAGAGGATTAAACCAGAAGAGAGAAGTTGCGCAACGGTAATGCGCTCACGCCGTAGATTTACAGTACTCCGCGGGCGAAATAAACGCGAGCCATTTTACAGTAGTGTTTTTTTAACCGGTGGTTCGTGGGACAATAGCGTCCCGTAAAAGTTTAAACGGAAAGTAAATTTTTCTCCAATTTTAAAGTTACTTTAATGAAAATAAATTGTTATATTTTTCAGTTAGTCTGTTCCGATAATAAATAATTAAAATATTTTAATTATATTACACGTGTTTAATACTTCATAAAGAAACTATTAATATTATTACACGGCATAATGAGCAGAATATTATGAGCATAATAAATTTATATTTAATCGTAGTACATCCAAAAATGAGTTATCCGAAATTGATATTTAATATTAATATAAGAAAGACCATGATTTTTTATAATAAATTTTTAATGAAAAATTGAAATTACTTTTTTCTTTCTTACGAATTCTTTTTCTCAGTTAGAGATAATATACTGTAGAAACAAAGAAATCGATATCACCAAGTTGTTTACATCGAGAGATTTTCGCTCCTAAAAATAATCAACTAATTCCTGAACTACATTATCCGTTTATATCCTGTGATTCGCCTTTAAAATTAGCGCATTATAACAGCGACTCGAATGTTTAATTCATGTTGGTTATTTGGAATTCGCGTAAGCTGTGCCGCGCATCCAATTGCCGATACATCGGTTTTGTTAATCGGCTGGATTAGTCGACGCTTCTCCTTTGTATGCAAGTTCGGCCCGTTCAATTATTTCCGCGTAACGTCGCGCTCCTGATACGCGTATACCGCGCATTGCATATCCCGTGATTGAATCGATCGGTTTTAATTTCGCGGTTACCGCACTAGTACCGTAAATCAAGCCGATTGCGATGCACGTTATTGGTAATGCCGTGTGTACCTTGACCTCGATCCAGCAACACGATGTTTCCTAATTTGAATGTTACTTTTCGCATTTTCTCTGAGAGCCATAAAGACGATAAGCATCATTTTATTATTGTTTTTTTTTTTATTGCTTTTTTAAGTTCGTCGTTGCTTCTATTTTATACGAATTAAAATTCCAATTTATAGACACATAAATTACGCGCAAATTTATTACATTTGAATATTAGAAAAAAATTATCATTATCAATGACAGATTATTGTTTTAAATCTACTCATTTTACAATTAGACACATTTCACTAATTTATCACGTAATTGTACCGCTACGCTATTATCAAATTTACTAAAAAAAGAAAACGCTTATTGTTATCGGACAACCATATTATTTGATCGTATATTCGTCGCGCAAAATGCATCTTGTTAATCTCATTGAACAATTACATCGCAAATATTATCCGCCAAATAGCAAACATGAAACTCGGACTTTCGTACTACGCGATCGCGCAGGGATTAAAGCCAGCACGGCTGGTGTTTGGCGCCGAACTCGTCGATGATTTCCGCGCGTGTACACGCCGGATTGACTTACTATTTGCGGCGCATCGACCGATGCGCCGCGCCATTGTCGCCGTTAATTGAAACGATCGTTTGCAGATCCGCGGTCGATTCCCGGTCGGGCGTTGAGCCCCCCCCCTCCCCTCTTACTCCTCCCTCCGGGCCACACGCGTGTTTCGACACGCAGATGCAACGCAATCGGCATTCTGCATTTTCGCCACCGCACACCGATTGATCGATGATCTCGATGAAGCGCGGTGGCCGAGCATTGCTCTTCGTGGCTGCGACACAAAAAGCGTTGAAAAAGCACTATACAGAATGAGTTACAAGTTGCGTAACAAACATTGACAAAGCGTTCGCAGCATCGCGTGCAGGGGCAGAAAAATTTTTTACACCAACGCTTCAGTCGCCTATAAGTTTATTACGGAACTGCGATGGTTCCTCCGCGTTCATTTACATCTGAAAGCAAGGTGATAATTTTCATGATTCGTCATAATAATTATAGTCGTATCATTAAGTTAGATTATTCGCAAAGTTGAATTCCGCATTCAGCTTAGTAGAAAGTGCCATTAAATTTTCTCCAAGTTTTCCGCCAATTTCGATTCCAAGTTCGTCATAGAATTCATCGTTAAAATATCCTCCAATAATCCCGGGAGTTTATTGGCGACAATGGTTGTCGGCGAGAAACTGTACGCCACCATCCGTGCGAGCAGCGCGCCGGTATTTCTCAATTTTGCCGGTTAATCGAAACGTACAAACAGCGTTTCCGATATTTTCAATCGAATAAATTTCACCGCAAAAAGATTCCCGGCTTGCGTATTTCAGCTACACCTGCGATCTCGAGAAATGGCGCGCTCGCAGTTTGCGTCGCGCCTTCGCGGCGGCAATCGGCGCTCTCGACTCGGCGCCATCGTGCTCGACGCGAAGCGCTTACTCCGCAAGTACAAATTGACTTTTTTTTCCCTCTCCCGTGGGACGTGCCTGATTGCTGAAAATGCAAAATAAACGGTAGCGCGGCTATCCCGTCCGACCTCAATCCGGCCCATCCTTTTTGCCGAGACACGCGCGTGTGCGCGCGCGCGCGATGAAACGGGGATTTCTCTCTTTGTTCGCGGATTCATTCCGCCGGAAACTTAATTTTCCCGCGTTTCCCCTCGGAGCCGTTACTCCACCTAGCACCTCGCGTCCGTCGTAACGTCGTTATGCCCGGGGAAACAAAGCGCTATCGCTGATAAAGAGGTCAATACCGATCTCGCCGGGGAATCGGCGATAATGTCTTCGTTGAATGGCGGTCCATTACGCCCGTCCCGTCTGATTCTTGAAAATGCACAGCGAGCAGAACGGCTACCTCGCGTCGGCGTGAGGATAAATTAACCGTGACGTTGATCGTTATTTATGAGTATTTCTGCTTGGAAAAAGAGAGGCGGCGGTCGGCTTATGTGTCAGGTGTGTTTCCGCGCTATGAATATAAACATTACTTTGTTGACGGTTAAAACGAGTCAAACGTCGGCTGATGTCTTTTTTTATTTCATTTAATAGTCACGAAAATTTTTCATTATCGGAGAGATGTGCGCTGCTCGTTTTCCACAATAGACCGACTTATTGTTTGAAATAGAGTTTATTAAAAAAATCCACGCACCTCTCTCGAAGCAAATCTTTTCATTCAGTGAAACCGTACTGATGACAGTATCACAAGAGAGAATCATTTATTTAAGAAAATCTATTTTAAATGTTACCGATATTTTGTAGAGCTCAATTTCACAGATCTAGAATTATTTTATTAGAGAGGCGCAATTTTTTTTATAAACGACGTATTGCCTCAATCGAATTTATTTTGTACAAAATAAAATATTTGAAGTCGCGCTAATGTTTTCGCGGGATTCGTTTCAATAATCGATTTACCCGAAGCGATATAGGTAAAGGGAGCATCTGGAGCATGGAAAAAAATGAAGTCGACCGTAAAGCAGTCGAAATAATTTCAAATGGAAGGCAAATGCAAAGCGCACAGCCGTTGCGCTGCCCGGTGGTCCTTAAGGACGATAAAACACGATGCGTATGACCATCGTGCGAGTTGCGAGAGGAGGAGCGGCGTACAGGATGCGCGTGCACAAACACAGTGACGTCGCACATCGGCGAACGTTTGCGCTTTAAACACAGCGGATAGCTCGGCAACCACTCGTTCCGCAGATAATGGGCAACGATGGTGACGCGAAACGCACACGCGATCGTCGCAATATCGAAGGAAAATATCGGCCGTGTGTTCGATATTACTCGCTCGCATCTGAAAGTTCAACGGTTTTGTTGCCTTTGAAAATGCAACCAACTGCGCTGTAGCGCGGACATTGTTTTCCCTCCATTTAGTGCTTTATTACATTTACATTATCGCACTATTTTCGAAGAATGTCTAGTGTTGCAAAATTACATTTTGCTGCACGCTGTATTATATCGCGTGTTTTTGCACGTTGCTTGCTAAATATTTATCGCGCAAACTGCAAATTTTTATTTTATATAAAAATACAACAAGAGTTTTTCAATCAACGATAAATTAATAACTAATTCAAATAATTGAGAACCGACATAACTGGCATTGTTTTTATAATCTCGTATGAATACGCGTTTGCAGAAGTTCCAAGTATCTTATCCGGCAACTATGAGACACATTATGTGAACAAACATTATTCCTCCCTCTTTTATCCATTAAGCGGATTACATTTCTAAGTAGCATAAATTACCTTTGCAAATAAGACAGTCGCCTCAGGTATCCTTCGCTCCTGTTTCAGATGTTTTGAGCAGTACCGCGCGGAAAGATGAAGACTGCGGTCGGCTCGCTACTCTTTCTCCTCATCAGCGGCGTCGTTTCCGTCGAGTGGAAACACAGCGCTGTCCTGGACAATAATTTCTTGGTGCTCTGGACGCCCGGCGAGCGGGACGTTACATTCGAGATCCAAGTGAAGACCCTCGGTTATGTCGGGCTCGGTTTCACGAAGGACGACGGCCGCGGCGGGGCCGACATGGTCATCGGATGGGTCGATAACAACGGCCAAGTCCACCTTCAGGTAAGCGTCTTTTTACGGAGCATCAAGTAATATCTGGTTTCTTGCGGTCGCGTCAGCGAACTCCCTTCGGCTCTCCCTCTGGTCTCACCGCGTTAAAATATAGAAGTCTACGCGCGCATCGTGATTATGAGCAATTATAACATTTATGACTTTAAGACTGAAATGCGCGTCTGAAATGATAGTAATCGGACATATTAATCTTTGATAAAAAATTCCTGCTTTCCGCGGCTTTTGCAGTTTCAACGTCGAATGCATCGATAAAGCTGCGAGTTAAATTAAATCAGTTCGATTTCATTACATATTTATATCTCCGAAAGTTAATTAATCAAAAGATTACAACTTTTATCGTTAAATAATTTCTTAACAAATAGTCGCTGAATTTGATTCTTTATCGCTATTTATCGCTATTTATCGCTATTTATCGCTTCAATAAGAAAATGTCGGTTTTTTTCGCTCTGCTAGTGATTCCTATCATTTCGAGTACACCGCGTACAAAGGGCTGCAAATGGAAATAGTTACCGCGTTCGCATTAAAGCTCACTGATATTTAAATTAACCGCGCTAACGTACCGCTTGTGTACGCAGAGTGCCGGGGGGCGAGAGTAATCGAGAATAATTATTTCCGTGCTACTGATCGAGTGGAGTTCTCTCTTTGAATATTGTAAAGTCCGCCCCGGCACGCCAACATCGGCGATGGAACGCGCTTAATGGTAGTCATTCGGGAGATAAGTAATGGCTCTCCCGTTTCGATCGGGCGCATCGGATAGTTATCAATCATGCCCACTAAAGCCGGCAGCCTGTCATTATACGTTCTCCTCATTTTGCACGACACTCGGTACATCGAGAGGACTCGCCTGCGGAGGTGATTGCCTTAATTTTTCCGCGAAAATCGTGGTTCCCGCAACTTGCTCATTATCCTGATACTCGCTCGTCTTTATCTGGAATAAAATGTGCTCACCGTTCTCATCAGCTAATTAACGTCCATACGATCTCTCTTTTTCTGTATCTTCAAAAAAAAAAAACCGTGAATATATTATTTGACGTATATTTAACTTCTAATCAAGTACGTTTAATCTTTAACCGATTCAGAGTCGCGTAAAGAAGTAGCGGTCTTTTTATAAACGCGACAGTCTAATGAGTTTCCGATGAGAAAATCGATAGTTATCATTTCTTAATTGTTTCACGACATTATTCCGTTCGGCATGAGTGTGCTGTATTGACGAAAAAAAGTCGATGCTTCTTGGTAAAATAATTCTACGGCCGTAAAATTGGGATTTGCGAAACATTAGTCTGCAATATTTAAGATTCTCTCAAATAAATAATTCTCTTGTATCGTGATATTATTATATCATCATTTGTTCATCTTCTCATATACATATTTACTACATGCAAAATTTCAGTAGATGAGATTTTTTTTTTGGAAGTGCGTCGATTTTTTTTTTGCCAAACAGTGTACACATGTAATCTCCATGATAGCGCGGTTGCCGGGCTCAACAGGAAAACTACTATCTTTCACACTAACGACCGCGCGACTCCAACTTCAGCGTTCCGCTATTTAATTTCGCGATAGCAAAACCGAGGTCCGCAAACTTCCCCCGGATATATCATGAACTGTCCGCACTGCGGTCAGATCCGACGCCGCCGTATAATAGTTCGGAGTTAATATCATGTGCATGTGCGGCGCCGGGTGCCGGCGGGGGTGGCTCTTTGAATAACAAGACGTCATTCAAAGGGACCGCCGGCTTGGGCAAAGGGAAAGGAGCGTACCGCGGGCGCATAATCTAGTTCGCGCGATTTCCACGTGAACAGCCACGGGAATTTCGTTGCCGAGCCGAGAGCACAGGTTATTTTCGAGCGGTTTTAAATTTAAAACGTCGTTAGTCGCGCGCGATGTCTGGGGACGCGCGCGGGATCCCTCTTCTCTTCGGGGACCGGACGCGAAGGGGATTACACGCTATCCACCCTTTCATCAGCGTTACGCGACCGTTGACAGTTTCTGGCCCGGTTCTTTACAACGTGGTCTGGAGTATAGGTGCGTTGCTTCTTCCTCATCTTTTTCTGTTTTTCCTTTTTCTTTTTTTCTCCCTCGTCGTATCTCTTTCGTGAGGCGAGCGAACTGAATCAACGAGAAAGAAAGGGCGCCGCTTGTCGTGTCGCACAAGCTTTTTACCGTATTTTTACCAGCCGCGCCGCGAAACATTCATTTCGTTTCGCCATTATTCTCCAGTTATCCCGCATAGATTTATCAGCGCTTACCTTGCGCTCGGCTTTTCGTTGGGACGTCAAAGGAACGCCGCGCGGTCGAATGCCGGGCTCTCTGTCCGTTTTTATTTCGGCGCGAGCGTGTAATGCCATCGCGTTATTAAATCTCTCAACACGGAATTATGATGCGACACGCCGGACAAATTTTTCTGATATTGAAGAATATTGTAATAAAGTTTCTGAAATTATGAAAAAATATTTGTCCACTTGAATACATGATTAATATGATAATCAAACGTAAAATAAAAAATTCATTGATATTTTATAATTTTGATGGCGTCTAACATCTTGTTAAGAAAAAGCGCAATTTCCCATCTGCACTCTCATTCCGAGACGTAGTCTCGTTTATGCGGCAAACGGCCTGCTTATGTTCATGCGATCGTGATTGGCCGGCGTCGAGCGCATCTCGGCTACATTATAGAGACCTCCCGACGCTTCTTACAAAATGGAAAGCAGTCGTAACCGGCGGGAGGACGCGATATAGGAAAGCAATCTTCCACGACGAGTATCGCGGGGGTCGACCGAGGGCGGTTAGGTCGGTAACGCGTAGATATTTCTACGTCAGTGTTTCCCAAATGAGTCCCTTGAATTCCAGATGAAATAAAAGCGGAGAAGATGATCTTTGATTTTGCAATTTCGTAATTTTATTTATTTTTCGCTGCGGCTTTTCAAATTTTATACAAATGTCTTCGTATCTTTTTTACAAAAACTAAACTGCATAATTTTATAACGAAGAAAACAAATAAGCACGCTAAAAAATTAGATATATGTGTTATTATTAATATTACACGGAAAATGTAAGATGTAAAATTTGAATGATATTGCGAATGTGTAAACTTATGATAGCAAGTAATTAATTGTTAAAATTTAGAATTTTGCGTCTCAATATCGTTCTTCTAAAACAGTTTAGATATATAATACGATTTTGTTAGGTTAGTCGATGAAACATGCAGTAGTTGTGGAGAAAACGATATTAGAGAAGAGAAAATAATTCCAGCTTCTTCTCTGAAAGTTACGCAATTACGAGCTTCATGACATCCGAACGCGTTTCAAAGGATTCGGCTGCTGTATAATAAATTGGGAAACACTGCTCCACGTAGCTGGGTAGGTGGAGAGAAGGTAGTCGGGCTGCAGATCGCGTCCGTCTCGCGTGTCCGCAATTTTTCCGGCAGAATCGTTGCTCGCTTGTTCCATAATGCATGCCGCGCCGCGCAATGCTCTATGCGATGCAGCCGCGTCGCCGGACGTTCTCATACGTCGTGAAAGAGAGGAGTCGATAAAGGAGGAAAAGAAGAGAAGCAGGCGAGTCGGACGGAGGGTGGAAGAGAGAGTGAGAGATAGAGAGAGTGAGAGACTAGCATCCAATGGGAGCGAGAAGCTTTTTCGTTATGATCGTAATCTTAGAACCAGACCAGCCGCGGGCATCCGCACCAGCCGGACGACTGCTACTCCGCTCGATTTCTTGCTCGCCCCGCAGCCGCCCCTCCGGTTGATACGCGACTTTAATTCGCCACTCGCGTGGGCGATGGACGCGCCGTAGAAGCGTCCCGGCTGCGCAATCCGATATGCATGCCGCACCGAGATCGCACGAGAGCGTTTGTCCACGCGGACGACTGGCATGTAATGAGCAAAATCGTCCTGATTGCGTATACCATGCGTATGCATTATAGCCGTGTGAAACGCGCGCGCGTCCTAATGGCCATTTGCGAAGAAATACCTGCGGTTAGCTGCATCGCGTTGCATCGCTAAATATATATATCCCCCCCTCCGTGAGACGCATAGAGATTTTTCTATAAAACATCTATTGAAGAAGCGGTGTAGCGAAACACTTAAAACGAACGACGCGAATGCAAGATGAACCAGAATGTCCTGAACCGGAATGTCCAGAACCGAGAATCTTCCTTCGAACGCGGAGTACAGTGTTATTCAACTCAATTGTTTTGCATGGTAAATCTCACCGCGGCCAGACACGCGTGCAACGCTGACTGTTTGCTGAATAAATGATACAGCCGGTAATACCGCTAGTCGCAGTGCGCTACTCGTGAAATTCGCACGCGTAACAGAGATAACGGATGCAAGAGGAGTATAAAGAGAGAGAGAGAGAGAGAGAGAGAGAGAGAGAGAGAGAAGAGGAGGAGGAGAATACGGCAAATAACTGGATGAATTAATAAAGTCAACGCAACAGGGAGGTATCGCTAAATCATAGAAGACTCGCGGGATTAACCGTTCGCGAGCGAGCACGAAATAAAGCGCGAATTGCGCATTTGCTGCTGCTCTGCGCTTGTAAGCGCGCGCGCGCTTGAATAATCCCTTCGTAATGCACCGGCAGATTGCATTTTCAACGAGGCCAAATAATTGCGTCCAATCACCGAGATGTTTAATTCGTTACGTTTCTCGCGTATTGTTTTGCGGCTTGTCGAATGGCGCGTGGCGCGTAGTATATTCGCGGACGGCTTTATTAAAATATCTCGCGCGGTTTCCCCCCCCCCCCCTTCCCCCCTTTTCCCTCACGCCTGCCAGCAGCTGTCTTTTGTCGTCGATTTGCATTTTGTCGCACCTCGCAGCTTCCGTCGCTTCGCATTTTTAATAACGCCGTCGATAAACTATGAGCGACATATTTAACGCATTCTTTCGCGTCTCTCTCTCTCTCTCTCTCTATCTTTCATGATGCCAAGTTATCGAACTTTGCGTTCACTTTATAACAAACTGAATAGCGTAGTATCTTGTTAAAGTAACGGA